CTATTCTATTCTATTCTATTCTATTCTATTCTATTCTATTCTATTCTGCATTCTATTCTCTTTTCTCTCTTTTCTCTTCTCTTCTCTTTTCTACTTTATATTTTCTATTCTATTATATTCTGCATTCTATTCTGCATTCTATTCTCTTTTCTCTTTTTTCCTGTTTTTTCCTCTTCTCTTCTCTTTTCTACTTTTTATTTTCTATTCTATTGCATTCTGCATTCTATTCTATTCTAAATTCTATTCTCTTTTCTCTTTTTTATTTTATTTTCTATTCTGCATTTTGTTCTATTTACTATTTTATTTTATATTCCATTCTATTCCGCATTGTATTCTATTGTATTCTGCATTCTATTCTATTCTATTCTATTCTATTCTATTCTATTCTATTCTATTCTATTCTATTCTATTCTATTCTATTCTATTCTATTCTATTGTCTAATGCAGGGATCCCCAACCTTTTCGACGCCGCGGCCCGGTTCCGGCGTCAGCTGGGCGCCGCCATTTTTTTTTACGAAAAATCACTTCCGGTGACGTCACCGGAAGTGATTTTTCGTCAAAAAAAATGGCGGCGCCAGCGCTTCTGGTGAGCTTTTTCGGGTAGAAATGGCTTTCTACCCGGAAAAGCTCACCCAAAGCGCTGGCGCCGCCATCTTTTTTGACGAAAAATTGCTTTTTTTACCAAAAAAAGATGGCGGCGCCCAGCAACCAGCGGCCCAGTAAGGCTTGTTCCGCGGCCCGGTACCGGTCCGCGGCCCGGCGGTTGGGGACCCCTGGTCTAATGGCTTCAAATAATCCACGCCAGGTTGAATTTTGGAGACTTGTATTCCCAACAGAGAATGAAGCAGGAAAAGGATGGCTTAGTGGATAAGAACCTCAAAGGCTTGTCATCATTCTCCTCCCTCATGACTGAGATGCTTGCGTCCCTTTATGATAGAGCTACCCTTGTATGTCAATTGCCAATGTAGCATCTTTCCAACATACTCACAGCTTTTTTTTCCTCCAGGTGTTCCTGTTTTCCCTAAAGAACGAATAATACAAACAAGAGTTAATGCATTCTGTTTTCCCCTACTAATCATAGAAACACCGAACAGTTTTGTTGTTGGTTGCTGGGAGTTAAATAGGCTGTCAACTCACGAAGCTTTCCTGACCTGCTCCCGGGTTGCCATAAGGTGCGGCGGATGGGAAATTGTGCCTCGCAGCTGCACCAAGGAATTCACACCCCAGTCAAAACAAAACACTCCCTAGCTGCCTGAAATCTCCACAGAGACCAGCAAAGGTCGAAGGGAGTGACTTCTACAACCCGCGAAATTGCTTCGTTGGGGAATGTGACTGGTGACACACCTTGTGGGGGAGGGGGCAACAGGGTCGGAGGCAAGGCGTGAATTGGGTGAAATCAGAGCTGGCTTTGCTGAATTGGTGCCGACATGGCGCTCCTAATAAATGCATGGATTTTTCTTGCTAAATGGGTTGAGGCTCCTGGTTTTATTAGGGCATTGGTCGGAACCCTGACGTAGGCTTTGCAAATGCCCTGCAGAAACGCTTCCCTCTATCACTTTGGAAGAAAGATGTTTTCTTTTTCCAAATCCTTTCAAAGGGAAAGAGATTGCTGGAGAAATTCTCCTCATTGGAGTGAAATCTTGAATTTACTTTAGAGCAGGGGTGTCAAACTCAAGGCCCAAGGGCCGGATCTGGCCCAAGGGGTGCTTAGTTCTGGCCTGCAGGGCTGCCCTGGAAACAGTAAAGGATTGACTGTGGTGCCTCTGCCAGTGAAAACACAGTTTGGGAAGGCCACGGGCAGCTCTGTTTTTGCTAGCAGAGGGTTGCAGGAGGTCATTGCAGTTGAAAATGGAACTCATGAGGGCCATGGGTGGCCCTCCAAACCTCCGTTTTCACTGGCAGAGGGTTGTAGGAGGATGTCACAGCAGAAAACGGTGCTCGGGAGCCTGTTTTCAAGGGCAGAGTATTCGGGCCACCACAGGCACCCCTGACACAACTGATGTCGAGCTGGCCATGCCCCCCTGGCCATGCCCCCCATCCCCCACCAAGGTCAAACACAACCCTGATGCCGGCCTGAACGAAATTCAGTAGCTTCTGACCAGTTCTGGAGAACCGGTAGAGGAAATGTTGAGTAGTTCAGAGAACTGGCAAATACCACCTCTGACTGACCCCGCCCCCATCTCTTCTCCGCCTTCCGAGTCCCAGCTGATTGGCTGGGTCTTCTTTGGTTGCCCTGCACAGGAGAACGGAGCTGGAAAGCAGGCTAGTGGGGTGGGGAGGGAATGGGGATTTTGCAGTATCCTTCCTCTGGAATGGGGTGGGGATGAAGATTTTACAGTATCCTTCCCCTGCCATGCCCATCAAACCATGCCCACCAAGCCATGCCCACCAAGCCATGTCCACCAACCTACGCCCACCAAGCCACACCCACAGAATTGGTATTAAAAAAATTTGAATCCCACCACTGGAGGGAGTCTATAGTGGATACGGGCAAGACAACCTTTTTATCATTTAGCAAATTCCTAGGAGAGCTCATTGAAGAAAGTGAAGTAATAGTGATTATGAGGATTTATCTATCTATCTATCTATCTATCTATCATCTATCTATCATCTATCAATCATCTATCTATCATCTTTCATCTATCAATCATCTATCTGTCATCTATCATCTCTCTGCTATCTATGTATGTATTATCTATCTATCTATCTATCTATCTATCTATCTATCTATCTATCTATCTATCTATCTATCTATCTATCTATCTATCTATCTACCGTGTTTCTCATATAATAAGGCCGGGTCTTATTTTTTTTTTGAGCCCCGAAAAAATGGCTAGGCCGTCTTTTCAGGGGTGACTTAATTCCCCCCCTTGCATCTTTGGGCGGGCGGGCAGCGACGGCTTGGATGTTGACCTTGGCGTTGGTGGGCCACTTCGTATCGGGGTCAACGCAGGCAGCACCATATCCGGGTGTGCAACAAAAGTATTTCCTAATGGCAAGCCGCCCCCCCATTTCGCATGTTTTAATATAGGCCTTAATTTGGGGGGAGGGGCTTAATTTCATTTCATGCCTATAAAACATGCTGGGATTTCCTATTGGGGGAGGCCGTATTGTTGGAGAAACAGGGTATCTATATCTATCTATCATTTATCATTCTCTCTCTTTATCTCTCTCTCATCTACATCTAAAGTAAATTCAATGCATACACACACACTCTCTCCTAAACCTTATTTTTCCATATGATAATGTACAATAGCTATTCAACTGATATATATGTAAATATAGAAAAAATAGGGAGGGAGGGAGGGAAGAAGGAAGGAAGGAAGGAAGACCTAACCATGATTTGGGGTCCTTATGAACAAATTTTATTTTGTTATCTGTGTACTAATTTATCACCAGGCATACTGGTGGATATTGCTGTGTCTGGTTATTTTTTTTTTTTTAATATTAGATTAGAATTGGGGACTTGGTTCTGCCATATATGGATAGATAATCATCATCACTATGTTTCAAACTTTGATATAATTACATTAAAAAGGGACACTAGCAAAACTGTGGCTCTGCAAATATGAATCTGATGGATCTCTATGGATGGAAGATATGGCATACAAATGTTGGAAACGTGGAGTGCTTACCAGCTTTAGGGCCTGGACCACCTGAAAGAAAAAAGACCATGATAATTAACAAAACAATGAAGAGGAGAAAGGCAAACAGAAAGGGAAGGAGAAATGTAAAACAAAATAAGGCTATGGTATTCATTTTCATATTTAAACATACACATTTATTTTCAGTGCTGAAAAAGAGACCTTAACCAACCAATTGTTGATTCATTAAATAAAAATTCAAAACGGTTGTAATAAAAACAAAAAAGGGTACCTTGAACAACTGTGTATTTTTGCAATTCAAATGTGAGCCCCCTTTTATTCCAAGAGATGCCCAAATGGAGATATTAGCAATTTTGCTAAGCATTACATTTCCTTGGTATCTAAGGTGTAACTTTACACTTCTCCTGGAATGACTGTCCTGGGGTGTTTAGACACAAATCTGACATTTCTCCATTTCTATCTCCTCCACTCTTGCAGATAATTGCAGATATAAGCAATGTGCAAATATAGTGGGGAAATGTGGCAATTATATTGGTACTGAAATGATGACAAGATCTCCTCCAAAGAATGAGAGGAAAGCAGGATGAAACAATAAGGAGAGATGATTTCAGAGTTACTTGCAGGGTTGGGGCTGCTAGTGGTGCTCACTGGTTCGGGCAAACCAGATGTTAATTTTACATCTGGTTCGCCGATCCGGTAGTTGCCCACCCTGCCCCACCCATCCCAGGAGTCTCCACGCAGCCCCGTTTTGGATCCCAGGTAAGTGCAGGGCCTGCGCAGAGGATCAGGGAAGGTGAAAAATGGGCCTCCTGGAGACTCCAGAAGTCTGGAAATGGGGCCGTTTCCAGCCTTCAGAGAGCCTCCAGAGACCGGAGAGGGGGGAAAGGGGCCTTCTGGAGTCTCAAAGGAAGCATTTGGAGCACAGGGAAGGTGAAAAATGGGCCTCCTGGAAGTTCCGCAAGGCTGGAAACAGGTCTGTTTCCGGACTCCCCAGAGCCTCCAGAGCCTGGGGAGGCCATTTTCGCCCTTCCGGAAGCTCGAGGAAAGCCTCCGTAGCCCAGGGAGGATGAAAACTCACACACACCCCAGGGTGGTGCAGGAGGCCAACTAAGCCGCGCCCACCATGGTCATGCCCATCCAGCTACAGGGCAGAGAACCGGTTACTAAATTTTTTGAAGCCCACCCCTGATTACTTGTGTAAGTAACTACGTCCAACACCCTAAACAGATCCCCTCTTACCAGAAGTTGTCCAAAGGCCAACACAAAAAAACAAGCAAGAAATGGACGGAACATCTTGCCTCTCTTCTACTCTTTGCTCTTCCAAATAGTGAGTTCTCCTGACGATGCTGGTTTTGTAAGTTATTTATACTTCACCTGGTATTGCTTCAATGAGTCAAAAGCAATGGCCCTATTGTCAAAGGAGGAAGTGGTTGAATAAAAGACATTTTGATAAGTAAAGGTCATCAGATATAGTTATCCTCACCATCATGCCAGTTCAGGTCACATCTAGATAAGGGAGCCTTTGAACAATCAAGAAAATTTCTAGACTTCCAAAATTTACACATTGATAATTACATTGTAGCGTGGAATCTGGAAGGTGAGAGACCTGCTAATAATAATGACATGGGTGCTTTGGGTTGATGAGTTTGGATCAGCTAATGTCAGAAAGAGATGGTAAGGCAGGTTGACTACGATAACTACATCTTGTCAGTTCCGAGTTAGTAAATTTAAAAGAGGTGCCACAATATCTGAAATCTGTCCTTTTTCTTAATCCAGTTTTTTTTTGCTACATCTATGTGCAAGTTTTGCTATTTTTTTTTCATATTCTGGTTTGGTGTCCATTTGGAAACTATATACCCTCTGTTGGCAAAGAGTAAAGCAGCTGTAAACACATCATGGGACTCTCATCCTTATCTTAAGTCACTCATCCTTATCTTGATGATGTTGTCAGTATTAGATATTTTTTGTGTTCTTAACATTTTATCAACCCTATCAATTAAGGCCACCACAATGATTTCCATCAAAAGGACTTTTGCTACTCTTGGAAGTGTCTCAGAAAGGATTATCGTCTTGTTTGCAAAAGTGACCCAACCTCTGATAAAGAACTATAAAATGGCATCTAATGGAAAGAGCAACATCTTACATAAAGCTATTTGGAAAAGATCAATGAATCAAAACAATCAGGGTTTTGACACAAGGAACAAAGCACAAATCGGGAGCTGTGAAAGTCTTCACCTTTTTGGAAGAAATATTCCTCAAGGGGAGCCTAGAGTGGATTAGATGTTGACCCCATAGGGAACAGCATGATTTAGGAACAGCACAATTAAGGAAATAAGGGTGTGGTGATCCAGGCACCTGTCCATATTAGCAAATTAATAATCTGAGAATTAATATTGTTTTTCATGTTTTAAGATCCTCCAATCTAGCAAATAATAATAATAATTGTACAAACAAAACTTTCTAGCACATTGGGATTTGCTGATGGTAACACATACGTGAAGCTCAGGCTGCAGGCTGCATTGCTGGAGTTTTCCTAAGCAGGTTTGTAGATAGCAGAGATTTCATTATCATACTAGGCAACAGAAGTTCCAAGATTCTGGAGAAGTAGCTCATCAATTGGCATAGGTTGCATGTCCTTCTAATTTGCCTATTTTCTACATTCTGATATTTTTCTTCACACCTTCTCACATTTATATCAGCTTCTCTGAGAAAGTCCTCTTCCCTTTATTGCTAATGATCCTGACCACCATTCCATAACAAATGACATATTTTGGGAAAGATCTTCAAGTGACAAGGAAGTATCAGCATCTAGAATTTATATTGTTGTGCGTCAGTTTTCTATGGAAGGACATTGATGACAACTTTATTTTATGCTGCTGTTTATCTCCCTGGTTTCTAAAGTGCAGAATTGTGAAGTCCCTTTCAACAACGGAACAGGATAGGTAGTGGTTTAAGTTGCTGGATGCTATCATATGATAAAAGAGCATATGAAAGTCCCAGAAAATACTTAAAAAGGACCAAGATGAAGCAGAATGAACAAGATTATTTCCTGTAATAAAATTGTGTACTAAAATAATGTTACTCATAAATGTCAACTTGCAAAGATATGCTTATTAATAATTCCTTAATGGCCTAGTGGTTAAGATTCTGGGTTCATTGACAGAAAGATTCTGCCCCCAGTTCCTGCCAACCAATTGAATTGGAGTGGAATGTTGTTTTAATTATATACATTTATATATTTTTTCTTTTTTTAAGAATACAGTGTGTATTTTAAGAATGTACCAAACAGAATCCAAATGGAAGTTATGTATTATATTGAATGTTACAACTTTAGGGAAAAGATATAAAGGCATCATACTCCAATCAGTAACTACAGGAGAAATTTTGTTTAATGAGAAAAGATAATAGATAATTGAAACAGGACAGACAAAAAAATATAAATACAATGATTTGAATTGAGATGAGATAATTAAAATAAAATTGAGACAATTAAAAGAGGGGAGAAGCTATGCAGAAAATGTAAAATAATAATAAGATATGGAATAGAATATAAAAATGAGCATGAACCTGAATTTGTGTCTGTACGAAGAAATGTAACCCGGGATTATGCTGCTTTCAAAAAAGATGTTTTATTTGTATTTTTTTTCTCTTTGTGAAAACTCAAATAAAATTTACAAAAAAAAAAAAAAAAGAATGAGGTGAGGTCCATGGTAGACAGTTTGAAGTTAAAGCTGTGAGGGGTAGAGGCTGTAACTTCTCTGCTTTTTCAGAGAGTAAAAGGAAACGAATGGAAAAGTACTTTCAGTCCTGTAAGATACTGTTCATGTAACTTGACAACCAAGATGGAAGTAGTACTTCTGGTTGTGTGTTTTGTCTGGATTACCTTTTTGGATCACCAATAATAGATTGACACATTTTGGAAAATGGCAATGGCAAATAACTTCCATATACTTGCTGAGAAAACTATAAGTTGTAGTCTGGGTGAACTATCTTAGAGCACTCAATAATAGAAGATAGAGCAATAGGGTTGGAAGATGATAAAACATTTATAAGAAGAAAAGCAGTTTCAAAGAAGGTCAAGAACCAACAAAGGAGAATATTTGCAGCTCAGGGTTGAAATGGGTGTGTGTGTGTGCTTGGTGCTCTTGGAGCTTGCTTGTTTTCTTGCAGATGTTTCATTACCCTAACTAAGTAATATCATCAGTTCTAGTAAGGAGTGCTGTTTGCTGTCATTTTATATTTTGGTGACTTACCTCTCTGTGTGGGTAAGGATGGTCTTAGAAATTCTTTGGTTGGGCTGTTTACTGATGGCTTTTTGGCAACCGTCAATGGACACGTAGGCATTAACAATGTTTATAGACTATGCAAAAGAGACAATCAAGCAGCCCAAAAGAGAGCAAAAAGACTCCAGCCACCTCTCCACCAGGAATCAGCAACCTAATCAGTTAATCCATGGTTAACATCAGACCAACAGTCAAGTAAACAACACCCCATCAAGAAACTGCCAAAGAGTCATCAGTAAACATAAAACCCATAATGCCGGGCTACTATGTGTCTTAAAAACCCTAAATACGTTGAATTTGGTCATGAAATGCCTGTTGGTGATCAGTGTAACTATTCTTTATCATTTTCTACAGAGAACTTTGAGAGGATATTTTCTCCTGATTTCTAGCTAGATGGGAGATAATTCCCTGCTTATGTTGCCACCAGAAAGAAGGTCCCAAAGAGATGTGTGCAATAAAATGGAAGGGTATCAGATTTGGCTTTAAGATTGGATAATCCCTGGACCAATTCCAATTCTGTGCTGCCATTTAAGTGATTATCTGGATTTATGCAGCACATCTCTGGTACTCCTTAGAAAAAGAGTTTGAGAACGTCTTCCGTTGGGTTAGGACTTTACTGTGGATACAACCTCTGCCTTTTAGCTTCAATTTGAACATGGATGATGGAGTAATTGTGCATGACGCAATGGAAGCTCAATGCTTCCTTGTACATCATATAACAATAAGAAGCATTGAGTTTGCGCAATGAAGCTTGTAGATTAAGATATTAAAACGTGGCAGTGGAGCTGAATAAAGTCTTTTAGGAGAACAGCAAGGAGCAGAAGAGCTGAAGAGCATCGAGAAGATGCGTCTCCTTTTAATCTTTGCATTGACCTTTACGCTTTCTACACAGACGGTAAGGCAAACTTTTGTGGCCTACAATAGCCTTGTAGCTGGTGTGCTTGCAGGTGAAGTGAGTAAGCATACCGAGCTTGTCCCCATGGTTTAATTTGCACATTTCTTCATGAAGGGGTTTAAAAATACAGCAGAGAGCTTTGAGTACTTAAAGTTTGAGTAGAACTTTGAGTTTTAATCAAGAAGAATTCAAGTGTATCAGAAGTTCTGAATTCAGGTTGGTATCCTGTTTTCTGCATTAGAATTCTCAGTGTTCACATACACATGAGAGTAAGAGATAACCTCTTATGGAACCTCTTGTTGGATCTACTGAGTTGGACCAATGCAGAAGGCTGAACATTTCTTTAATTGAAAAGAAATTTTAACTATGCAAGGTATAGAAAGAGTTTTTGACATGAATAAAAATAAGGTAAAGGTTCCCCTGCAGGTTTCACTCTGCTAGTCATGATTGACCTTAGGGGGCAATGCTCATCTCTGTTTCTTAAGGCAAAGAGTCAGTGTTGTGACCAGAATGACTTTACTCTGCAGCACAGAGCATACAGCAAAACACAGAAGGTTATTACCTTCCCACATGCTTATATGTGGTACCTGTTCATCTACTTGCATGTACATACTATTGAACTGCTAGGTTGGCAGCAGCTGGGATAACTTATGTCTTGTGGCACTTGGATCTCAGACTGCTGAGCTATGGACCTTTAACAGTTTAAAACTCAGCATCTCAACCACTTAGCTGCTACATCCCCTACAGAGCATAAATATAAATAAGGGATAGAGCAAAATTCACAGGTTCATTGTCCCCTAAGATATCTGTATATGTGCTTGGCTACATCAACAAAAATTTTAAGCCAGTGCTTGGAAGAAGAGCTGCAGTGTTGTGGGAGGCCATATTCCTTCTTATGGTTTTTATCCTGCAGTGACTCTGATTGGCATAGTTGTTGATAGGAATAGGATGTAGCAGAGATAGAAATATATGTTGTGATGAAAGTTATTTCACAAGGGACACATTGGTATTAAACATCTCCTGCATTTTTAGGCCAGGCCACATCTGAATGAAGGCATACAAGATGTTTGTATCAGAAAGGTTTTCTGTTACAGGCATATTTTAAGAAGAAAGAAGGGAAACCTGAAATTGCCCAAGATATCTATCTGAGACTGAG